CGCTATGCCTGATGAGTTCCTTGCCAAGAACCCACCCCCGCTCTGGCTCACTCTCTACCACCTAGTCACGTGCCTCCCTGACACTCTGCGCTCAGTCAGGGACCACTTCCTAGCTCGCTGCCCCACCGAGCTCACCATTGCCCTCCTCGAGAAGGAACTGCTTGCAGCTGAGGCTAGCATAGTCGCTGTAGGTGCCTCTCACGGTGACCCCCGTACCCCGTTCTTTGAGGGGTGTTCTCCCTCCCCCCTTCTTCCCTCTGTCGCCTCTGCTGCTGCTGTCGACCTCCTTGGTGCTGAGAAGGTCGGGACTGTGTCTGCTTCGAGTGGGCGCCGCAGCGGCAAGGGCAAGGGGGGCAAGGGCGGTGGTGGTGACAGCGGGGGTGGCGGTGGTGGGGGAGGTGGTGGTGGCGGGGGGGGTGGCGCGGGTGGGGGAGGTGGCAGCAGTGGGGGGGGTGGCGGCAGCGGCGGGGGAGGTGGCCGGGGCGGAGGAGGTGGTGGGGGTGGTGGTGGACGAGGCAGCAGCCGGGGTAGGGGTGGTCGAGGAGGTGGTAGCGGCGGTGGTGGTCGTGGAGGCACTGGTGGTGGCCAGGGCCAGCAGCACACTCCGTCGCCCCAGGAGGTCCGTGAGTGGTACTCTCAGCACGGGGGGGGGGGGGGTGGCCTTAGGTGCTGTCCCTGCTGTGTCTGGAGTCGCCGCGCGCCCTCAGCCGTACTTCGTTCCGCTCCTTCAGCAGGTTCTTGGTCTCTCGCCTCCTCCTGGTCCTCCTCCCTTAGCGTGTTCACAGCCTGTCCCGTCACAGTTACAGTTGCAGCCGGCCTCCCCACTACCTGCTCCTTCTCCTTACACAAGTCCTACTGGCGGTCTTACTGAGCGTCGTGAGTCTACGTCTCGTCCTGCGTCGCCTGTCCGTCCTGCTAGCGCTAGTGCTCGTAGTTCGCGCCAGCGTCCTCCTCCTGCCCCTGGCACGCACCGGATGTCTCTACGTCCGTCTACTGCTCCTCTGCGTGCCCCTTTGCCTTCTCCTCGTGCGTCCTCTCTTCCTGCTCTCGCCGACCCTGAGTCGGACTCTCTTCGTGCTGCCAGTCCTACTGTCACGCGTCTCCTTGCTACTGTTGTCACTGACCCTTCTTTCGAGTCTACTGCTGCGTCTGCTCTCGTTACTGAGCTCGTCGACTTTGCTGCTCGCTGTCGCTTAGACTACGCTGCTAGTCTTGTCGCTGAGTCTGAGTCTGTCTGTCCTCCGTCCGTCGGGGGTGAGTGTGCCCTTGGCACGGACGTCCTTGAGGACAGGCAGGAGGAGTTCCAGTGTCTGGCAGCTGCTTCACCTCATCTCGTGTCCGTACTGCTTACCCGTGAGGGAGACCCGGATGCACTTGACATCCCCACTCCGCGCTCTTACGCGGAGGCGATAGAGGGTCCCTACTCCTCTCAGTGGCAGGGAGCTATGGATGCAGAGATGGCTTCCTGGAAGTCCACAGGCACCTACGTTGACGCTGTCCCCCCTCCTGGGGCGAACATCGTCAGTGGCATGTGGATTTTCAGGGTGAAGCGGCCGCCGGGGTTCTCCGCCTGTCTTCAAGGCGCGTTACGTGGCTCGTGGCTTCAGTCAGCGACAGGGAGTTGACTACTTTCAGACCTTCTCCCCGACCCCGAAGATGACCACTCTTCGGGTACTGCTGCACGTTGCTGCTCACCGGGACTACGAGCTGCACTCTCTCGACTTCAGCACAGCTTTCCTGCAGGGCAGCCTGCACGAGGAGATCTGGCTGCGCCGCCCACCTGGCTTCACTGGGTCTTTCCCTCCTGGTACCCAGTGGAGTCTCCGGCGTCCAGTCTACGGTCTCCGCCAGGCGCCACGTGAGTGGCACGACACACTGAGGACTACGCTTGCGGCTCTTGGGTTCGCTCCGTCTACTGCCGACCCGTCGCTGTTTCTGCGCACCGACACCTCTCTGCCGCCGTTCTACATCCTCGTGTACGTCGACGACTTGGTCTTTGCCACAGCTGACACTGCTGGACTCGCCTACGTGAAGTCCGAGCTGCAGAAGAGACACACGTGCACTGACCTGGGTGAACTGCGCAGCTACCTTGGCTTGCAGATCACCCGGGACAGAGCACGCCGCACCATTACCCTGACTCAGTCACACATGGTGCAGCAGGTCCTTCAGCGCTTCGGCTTCACGTACTCCTCGCCTCAGGCCACTCCTCTGTCTACTCGCCACTCGCTCTCAGCTCTACCTTCGGATGAGTCCGTAGAGTCGAGTGGCCCGTACCCAGAGCTTGTTGGCTGTCTCATGTACCTGATGACCTGCACACGACCTGACCTTGCATACCCTCTTAGCATTCTTGCACGCTATGTTGCTCCTGGGAGACACCGACCAGAGCACATGGCTGCAGCGAAGAGGGTGTTGCGCTACTTGTGCAGTACGTCGGGCATGGGGCTAGTGCTTGGAGGGCGGAGTCCAGTGGTCCTCACTGGACACGCAGACGCTTCTTGGGCTGACGACCAGGCTACGCAGCGGTCGTCACAGGGTTACACCTTCAGCCTTGGTTCCGGCTCTGTTTCGTGGCGGGCTACTCGCTCGTCTTCTGTTCTTGGCTCCAGTTGTGAGGCTGAGATCTACGCAGGGGCCATGGCTGCTCAGGAGCTTCGCTGGCTCACCTACCTGCTGACCGACCTTGGAGAGCCGCCTCGTTCTCCTCCAGTCCTGTACGTCGACAACAAGGCCATGCTGGCCTTGTGTCGGGAGCAGAGACTGGAGCACAGAACAAAGCACATTGCTCTCCGCTACTTCCTTGCTCGTGAGCTGCAGCAGCGTGGTCAGTTGCGACTTGCGTACGTGGCCTCTGAGGCCAACACTGCTGATGTCTTCACCAAGACACTTCCGCCTTGTGATCATCAGCGCTGCTGTACCCAGCTGGGTCTTGTGTCTGTCTTGCCTCACTTGCTCTCCTCTTGACCCTCTTCGTACTGTTACATATATATATCACTGCTCTTGCTTGTTTAGTCTTATATATATATCTGTACTCCTGCATGTGAACTGGCCTTGTGGCCTTGCACTTGTGCTTGGATTGTGTGGTGACGTTGTGATCCACCCTGAGCTTGCTTTGTTTTGCTTTACTTGACTGGTCTTGTGACCCCTAGTTCTCCCCCACTTCGCCTATGGGGGTGTGTCAAACATTATATATGTTGTTGTAGTTGTTTAGGCTACAGTGGGTTAGCCTATAGGGGGTACACATTCCTAGGTTTTGATACTTGTACTCTTTTCACTCTTAGTTCATTCATTCTTGTTCAACAGAAAATTGCGACGATTCAAGCATGGCACGCGCCGACCAACTTGACCGAGCTGCAGAGTTTTTTGGGGTTCGTCAACTACGTTCGCCGGTTCGTCCCCGACATGGCGAAGCTGACTGCCCCGTTGACTGACCTGCTGAGGAAGGGGGTTGAGTACACGTGGCGGGAGAAAGAGCAAGCTGCCTTCTCGGCCCTCAAAAACATTTTGTGCTCACCGCCCGTGCTTCACATCGCAGATCCACACCGTCCGTTCGAGCTCGTCACTGACGCAAGTGACATTGCTGTGGGAGCAGTACTGTTGCAGGATTTCGGGAACGGCCTCCAGCCAATCGCATACGAGTCCCGTAAGCTGCACCCGCCCGAACGCAATTACCCGATACACGACCGCGAAATGTTGGCAATCGTGCACGCGTTCAAGGTTTGGCGGTGTTACCTGACTGGCGCCGACGTGACAGTACGGACAGACCACCGATCACTACAGTACTTACGCGCCCAACCGAATCTCAATCCACGACAGATTCGCTGGTTGGACTACCTCGAGTCCAACTTCCACTACACGGTTACGTACAAGAAAGGCGCATCCAACATCGCCGACGCACTCGCCCGCCCTACCGCCCAACTCCACGCCATCCTACTCACCCAGACCATGTCAAACTTATATGATGTAGTCTGTGTAGGCTATAGTGGGGTAGACAATATGGGGTACAACACTTCTAGGTTTTCCTACTTGTACCCACCTGCCTGCTAGTTCATTCATTTCCTCATTTCTTCACATGGTATAGAGCAGGTTCCCTAGTGGGAACGCTTCCTTGGGCCCATCACTGAAACTTTTTTTTCCGACCGGAGCGACAGTCGCTCCTGCCCGAGGCGCGCCTTGTGGGCTGCCCTTCTGTCGACCTCTCTCAGAGGCCCCTCTCACGGCCCCTCGCGCCACCCTCAGCGGCCCCGTCGCCGCCCCTAGCGGCCCCGTCACCGCCCCTAGCGGCCCTGTCGCCGCCCCTAGTGGCCCTGTCGCCGCCCCTAGCGGCCCTGTCGCCGCCCCTACCGGCCCCGTTCCCGCCTCCCTCCCTACGCGGCCCCGTTGCCGCCCCTACGCGGCCCCGTAGCCGCCCCTAGCGGCCCCGTCGCCGCCCCTACGCGGCCCCGTCACCGCCCCTAGCGGCCCCGTAGCCGCTTCCCTCCCTACGCGGCCCCGTAGCCGCCCCTAGCGGCCCCGTCGCCGCCCCTACGCGGCCCCGTCGCCGCCCCTAGCGGCCCCGTAGCCGCTTCCCTCCCTACGCGGCCCCGTAGCCGCCCCTACGCGGTCCCGTCGCCGCCCCTAGCGGCCCCGTCGCCGCCCCTACGCGGCCCCGTCGCCGCCCCTACGCGGCCCCGTCGCCGCCCTTAGCGGCCCCGTCGCCGCCCCTAGCGGCCCCGTCGCCGCTGACCTCCCTACGCGGCCCCGTTGCCGCCCCTACGCGGCCCCGTCGCCGCCCCTACGCGGCCCCGTCGCCGCCCCTAGCGGCCCCGTAACCGCTCCCCTCCCTACGCGGCCCCGTCGCCGCCCCTACGCGGCCCCGTCGCCGCCCCTACGCGGCCCCGTCGCCGCCCCTAGCGGCCCCGTCGCAGCCCCTAGCAGCCCCGTCGCCGCTGACCTCCCTACGCGGCCCCGTTGCCGCCCCTACGCAGCCCCGTCGCCGCCCCTACGCGGCTTCGTAGCCGCCTCTACGCGGCCCCGTCGCCGCCCCTAGCGGCCCCGTCGCCGCCCCTACCCGGCCCCGTCGCCGCCCCTAGCGGGCAGCCGAGCCGCCCAGCAGCAGCAGCCGCCCCTGGAGCAGCCGCCACTGCAGCCGCTACTGCAGCAGCCGCCCCTGGAGCAGCCGCCACTGCAGCAGCCGCCCCTGGAGCAGCCGCCACTGCAGCAACCGCCCCTGGAGCAGCCGCCACTGCAGCAGCCGCCCCTGGAGCAGCCGCCACTGCAGCAGCCGCCCGTGGAGCAGCCGCCACTGCAGCAGCCGCCCCTGGAGAAGCCGCCACTGCAGCAGCCGCCCCTGGAGCAGCCGCCACTGCAGCAGCCGCCCGTGGAGCAGCCGCCACTGCAGCAGCCGCCCCTGGAGAAGCCGCCACTGCAGCAGTCGCCCCTGGAGCAGCCGCCACTGCAGCAGCCGCCCCTGGAGCAGCCGCCACTGCAACAGCCGCCCCTGGAGCAACCGCCAGTGCAGCAGCCGCCCCTGGAGCAGCCGCCACTGCAGGTGCCGAGGAGCTCTTGCTCTATAGTGGTAGCGGCATCGCCGTTGCCGCCGTCGTACGCCTGCCCTTCTCGCCACTAGTGAGCACTGCCCTGCCCGTACTGCTGTTACTGCTGCTCTTACTGCTGCTGCTCTTTCTACTGCTACTTCTGCTCCTGGCGTGGCCAGATGCAGCTCCTGCATCGCCCGCGTGAGCCCCTCACCCCCCAACAGCTTCGTGAGTGGTACGCTAGTTGGGATTGTCGGGGTGGCCGTAGTGGGAGTCGTCCTGGAGTGAGTCGTTCCTTAGCTGCTTGTACTGGCCAAGTGTAGCTGCAGCGTCGCCTGCGTGACTCCCTCACCCCCCAACAGCTTCGTGAGTGGTACGCTAGTTGGGGTTGTCGAGGTGGCCGTAGTGGGAGTCGTCCTGGAGTGAGTGGTTGGGCAGCTACTTGTAGTGGCCAGGTGCAGCCTCAGCGTCATCCGCGAGTGGTCCTCTCGCCCCAGCAACTTCGTGAGTGGTACGCGCAGCGTGACGGGTCACGGGGTAGTGCTCGCTGTCCGTATGTCATTCGCACTGGTGCTCGGACTAGTCAGCCTTGCGGGACGTTCGGTCACGCACCGTCACACTGCTCCGCCCGTCTGAGCGACGCCTGGCGTACGGAGTTTGGCGACGCGGCTGAGCTCCCCGACTGGGTGGAGTTGCTTCGGCTGCGGGTCGATATCTATACTCTTGACTATGATGCAATCCTCACTGCCATGTATGCATTGCCTACTAGTGATGAGGGTGACTGTTACCTGCGTGTTCCGCCAGACCTGGGCATTGAGGCTGCTACTCTAGGTGCTGGTGAGGCTGCTGCTCTAGGTGCTAGTGCGTCTGCTGCCCCAGGTGCTGGTGAGTCTGCTCTCTCAGGTACTACATCGGCTCAGGCCTTACACACCTTCACCCTTGACTCGGGTGCTTCCCGCTCCTTCTTTCGAGACCGCACCACACTTACGCCGCTTAGTCGGCCGAATGCGGTCTCCCTGGCGGACCCCTCTGGGGGTCCTGTCCTTGCTAGCTTCTCCACTGTCTTACCGTGCCCGGCAGCCCCCTCTGGCACCCTGTCAGGTCTCTACCTCCCCTCGTTCTCTACGAACTTGGTGAGTGGAGCTGATCTACAGGATAGGGGGGTTGACCAGTTCACTCCTGCGAGTCAGCGGGTGACCCACTGCACGTGTGCTCGGACAGGCTGACACTTGGCCACGTTCACCCGTCGGCCGGGGTCAAGTTTGTACACACTTACTACTGAGTCTCCTCCGGCTACTGAGTCTAGTCAGGTAGCTGCGTCGAGTCAGGTGTTTGCTGCAGCGTCCAGGTCTGGTCCTGAGTCTGCTCCCTGCTCGTGTCGTCTCCTGTCCCACCAGACTCTCCTTTGGCACCACCGCCTTGGTCACCCCTCCCTGCCTCGTCTCCGAGGCATGGCCTACCGTGTCCTTGTCTCTGGTCTTTCCCGGTCTCTCCCTCCCCTACCTCCGGGGCCTGCCCCTACCTGCGTCCCCTGCGTTGAGGGGCGACAGCGCGCCGCCCCTCACTCCTCCGAGTTTCCGCCGATAGAGGCTACTCTGTAGACTCTCCACATGGACGTGTGGGGCCCCGCCCGCGTCCGTGGCCAGGGGCACAAGCGTTACTTCCTGTTGGTGGTTGACGACCACTCGCGTTACACCACAGTCTTCCCCTTGCGCAGCAAGGGTGACGTCACTGAGGTGTTGATCGACTGGATCCGCGCAGCTCGTCTCCAGCTCAGAGAGAGTTCCGGCTCGGACTTTCCTGTTCTGCGTCTGCACTCTGACAGAGGCGGGGAGTTTTCTTCTGCCCGTCTGGGAGCCTTCTGTCGAGCACAGGGCATCCGCCAGACGTTCACGCTTCCGGCCTCTCCACAGCAAAATGGGATTGCTGAGCGCCGCATTGGCATGGTCATGGACGTCGCTCGTACGTCCATGATCCATGCGGCTGCCCCCCATTTTCTGTGGCCGTTTGCGGTTCAGTACGAAGCGTATCAGCTCAACCTTCAGTCCAGGGTCTCCTTGCCAGAGACCTCCTCCACCTTGCGGTGGACGGGGAAGGTTGGCGATGCGTCTGCGTTTCGGGTCTGGGGATCTCGGGCGTTTGTCCGCGACTTGTCTGCGGACAAGCTGTCCCCCCGTGCTGTTCCCTGCGTCTTCCTTGGCTTTCCCCATGACGCGCCTGGGTGGCAGTTTTACCACCCCACCTCGCGCCGTGTTCTATCCTCCCTGGACGTCACCTTTGACGAGTCGGTGCCTTACTACCGTCTCTTCCCCTACCGCACTGCTCCCCTCCCCCCGCCGCCGCTCTTCCTTGCGCCAGGTCCTCCCCCGGTAGACCCCCTCCCCCCTCAGGGTCCTGCCCCGTCAGGTGTGTCCCAGGTAGACGCAGTCGCGCCTGTCGAGGTAGCTGTTGACTCTGGTGCTGCTCGAGGTGCTGAGCCTGCAGGTGCCGGGTCTGGGGGTGCTGAGTCCAGGGGTGCAGAGCCTGGGGGTGCTGAGCCTGGGGGTGCTGAGCCTGGGGGTGTTGAGTCTGGGGGTGCTGAGCCTGGGGGTGCTGACCCTGGGGGTGCGGAGCCTGGGGGTGCTGGGTCTGCTCGTGTGGCCACTCGCGGTGCTTTGTCCAGGCGGGAGCTACTCTCTGCGCAGGAGCTGCGCGAGTGGTTTGCCCGGCGCTGGAGCCGTGCTGCTGGAGCTGGAGGTACTACTGTTGCTGCTGGTCCCGGAGGTGCTCGTACTGGCGGTACTAGAGCTGCTGGGGCTGGGGGTGCTGCTGGAGGTCCTACTGGAGCTGCCGGTCCTACTCGAGTTGTTACTGCTGTAGCTACTGGAGCTACTGGTGCTGGAGCTGCTGGGACTGGGGGTGCTGCTGGGGCTGCTGGAGTTAGTCCTGCTGGTGGTACTGCTGGAGCTACTGGCGGTGCTGAAGCTGCCGGTCCTGCTGGAGCTGGAGCTGCTGGAGCTGGAGCTGCTGGGGGTGTTGGCGCTGGTGGTTCTGCTGGCGCTAGTGCGTCTGAGGGTGCTGGAGTTGGCGCTGTTGGAGCTGGAGTTGCTACTGGTACTGGTGCTGCCGCTGGGGGTACTGGTGCTGTCCCTGCTGGTTCTGGAGGCGCTGCGCGGCCGCAGCCGTACTTCGTTCCGCTCCTTGAGCAGGTTCTTGGTTGTTAGAATATTATGCTCTAGCCTGTAGTGGGGTTCTCTATAGCGAGTACAACCCTTCTAGGGTTTGCTATTTGTATCCTCACTCTTGCTAGTGCAACCCCCTCTCCTTTCACATGCTATCAGAGCAGGTCGATCCCCTTGGATCGATCCTGTGGGTGGGCTCACCACCTCGTTGCTTCCGCTGCAACTTCCACTGCTACTCTCTGTGCCGCACGCCTCGTGGCGTGGGGCAGTTTTTCTTCCCGCCGTGCGCCCCGAGGCGCGCGGCGGTTTTCTGCCCGCCGTGCACCCCGTGGCGCGCGGCGGTTCTCTGCCCGCTGTGCGCCCCGAGGCGCGCGGCGGGCTTTTGCCCCGTTACTCGGCGCGTCGCCCTCGCGAGGCGCTGCGACGGGCGACGGGGACCCGCGCGTCGCCCCCTGTCGCCCGTCGTGGCCTGCGCGCGGCCCGTACAGGCTGCGCGCGGCCCATAAGGGCTGCGCCAGGCCCGGACGCGGCCCGTACGGGCTGCGCCAGGCCAGCGCGCGGCCCGTACGGGCTGCGCCAGGCCCGCGCGCGGCCCGAACGGGCTGCGCCAGGCCCGCGCGCGGCTCGGGCCGCCTGTGCGCGGTTCGGGCGGCTGTGCCACGCCCGTGGGCGGCCCTTTCCTCGCTGCCCCTGCCCTCCCCGCTGTCCCCCGTGCTTCTACTGGCGCCCCACCCCTCCTACAGCCCGTTCTCCTGAATTAGGGTTTGGGGGTGAGGGGTATGGGGGTGAAGCCACTGTGTGCCGTTCCTTGCTCCTCCTCCTCCTCCGTCTCCCTGTGCTGCAGCTGCCGCTGAGGGGGGGTGGACTTGTTGGAGCCGTTGGAGTGGTACTAAGGGGGGGTGAAGGGGGAGTGGAGCTAGCGGTGTAGCAGCGGGTGTGTGTCAGGGGGAGTGGGAAAGTTTGGGGAGGTTGAAGGGGGTGGCCGCCGTGAAGCCAGCAGCTCCAGTCGCCCGTGAGACCGTTGCGCCAGTCGCCCGTGAGCCCGTTGCGCCAGTCGCCTGTGAGCCCGTTGCTCCAGTCGCCCGTGAGTCCGTTGCTCGTCTGCCGCTACTTTTAGCCGCGGAGCCAGTTACTCCAGTAGCTCGTGTGCCAGTTACTCCAGTTGCCAGTGTGCTAGTTGCTCCAGTTGCCCGTGTGCCAGTTGCTCCAGTTGCGCCGTGTGCCAGCAGCTTCAACCGCCGCCCACTACCTCCTCTCCTCTCATAGTCTCTTTCCTCCTCCTCTCTTGCCCGTTGTGACTACTACTAGCTTTGCTCATAATTGTGAACTTTAAACTATTGCTTCTTGAACTTGTGCTCAGAATGTGTGGTGACATTGTGATCCACCCTGAGCTTGTACTGCTTTGCTTGCTCTGCTGATTACACCCCACTTTGGCTATGGGGGTGTGTCAGAATATTATGCTCTAGCCTGTAGTGGGGTGCTCTATAGCGAGTACAACCCTTCTAGGGTTTGCCATTTGTATCCTCACTCTTGCTAGTGCAACCCCCTCTTCTTTCTTTTAAACTTTCACATTGGTCTCCCGCCCTCTACTGGTCCTGCTCCTCCCTTAGAGTGTCCACAGCCTGTCCAGTCGCAGTCACCGTTACAGCCCGCCTCCCCCCTACCTGCTCCTTCTCCCTACACTGGTCCTACTGGAGGTCTTGCTGAGCGTCGTAAGCCTGCGTCTCGTCCTGCGTCGCCTGTTCATGCTGCTCGCACTAGTCGCCGTGCTCCGCGTCCGCGTCCTCCTACGGTCCCAGGCACACACCAGATGGCACTGCGTCCGTCCACTGCTCCTCTGCGTGTCCCGTTGCCGTCTCCTCCAGAGTCCTCTCTTCCTGTCCTTGCTGACCCGGAGTCTGACTCTCTTCGTACTGCCAGTCCTACTGTCACGCGTCTCCTGGCTACTGTTGTCACTGACCCTTCCTTTGAGTCCACTGCTGCGTCGGCCCTAGTTGCTGAGCTTGTCGACTTTGCTGCTCGCTGTCGTCTAGACTACGCTGCTAGTCTTGTTGCTGAGTCTGAGTCTGTCTGTCCTCCGTCCGTCGGGGGTGAGTGTGCTCTTAGCACGGACGTCCTTGAGGACAGGCAGGAGGAGTTCCAGTGCTTTGCTGCTGCTTTGCCTCATCTCGTGTCCACCTTGATTGCCCCTGAGGGAGACCCGGATGCACCAGACATCCCGACTCCTCGATCGTACGCTGAGGCGATCGAGGGTCCCTACTCCTCACACTGGCAGTCAGCCATGGACGCAGAGATGGCTTCCTAGAAGTCCACAGGCACCTACGTCGACGAGGTTCCCCCACCTGGGGCGAACGTCGTCAGTGGCATGTGGATTTTCAGGGTGAAGCGGCCGCCGGGTTCTCCGCCTGTCTTCAAGGCACGTTACGTGGCTCGAGGCTTCAGTCAGCGGCAGGGATTTGACTACTTTCAGACCTTCTCTCCCACCCCGAAGATGACCACTCTTCGGGTGCTGCTGCACATAGCCGCTCAGCGCGACTACGAGCTTCACTCTCTTGACTTCAGCACAGCTTTCCTGCAGGGCAGCCTGCACGAGGAGATCTGGCTGCGCCGCCCACCTGGCTTCACTGGGTCGTTTCCTCCTGGTACCCAGTGGAGCCTCCGGCGGCCAGTCTACGGTCTCCGCCAGGCGCCTCGTGAGTTGCACGACACACTGAGGACTACACTTGCGGCTCTTGGGTTTCCTCCGTCTACTGCCGACCCGTCGCTGTTTCTGCGCACCGACACCTCTTTGCCGCCGTTCTACATCCTCGTGTACGTCGACGACTTGGTCTTTGCCACTGCTGACACTGCTGGACTCGCCCACGTGAAGTCTGAGCTGCAGAAGAGACACACGTGCACAGACCTGGGTGAACTGCGCAGCTACCTTGGCTTGCAGATCACCCGGGACAAAGCACAGCGCACCATTACCCTGACTCAGTCACACATGGTGCAGCAGGTCCTTCAGCGCTTCGACTTCACGTACTCCTCGCCTCAGGCCACTCCTCTGTCTACTCGCCACTCGCTCTCAGCTCTGCCTTCGGATGAGTCCGTAGAGCCGAGTGGCCCGTACCCAGAGCTTGTTGGCTGCCTCATGTACCTGATAACCTGCACACGACCTGACCTTGCATACCCTCTTAGCATCTTGGCACGCTATGTTGCTCCTGGGAGACACCGACCAGTGCACATGGCTGCAGCGAAGAGGGTGTTGCGCTACTTGTGCAGTACGTCGGGCATGGGGCTAGTGCTTGGAGGGCGACGTTCAGTGGTCCTCACAGGTCACACAGACGCTTCTTGGGCTGACGACCAGGCTACGCAGCGGTCGTCGCAGGGTTACACCTTCAGCCTTGGTTCCGGCTCTGTTTCGTGGCGGTCTACTCGCTCGTCTTCTGTTCTCGGCTCCAGCTGTGAGGCTGAGATCTACGTGGGGGCCATGGCTGCACAGGAGCTACGCTGGCTCACCTACGTGCTGACTGACCTAGGAGAGCCGCCTCGTTCTCCTCCAGTTCTGTACGTAGACAACAAGGCCATGCTGGCCTTGTGTCGGGAGCACAGACTGGAGCACAGAACGAAGCACATTGCTCTCCGCTACTTCCTTGCTCGTGAGCTGCAGCAGCGTGGTCAGCTGCGCCTTGCTTACGTGGCCTCTGAGGCCAACACAGCTGATATCTTTACCAAGGCACTTCCGCCTGGTGATGATCAGCGCTTCTGTACGATGTTAGGTCTTGTGCCTACTTGGCTTCACTTGCTCACTTCTTGACCTTGCTTGTACTGTGATCTTTCTATACCTGCACTTGCTTGTTTACCTTTATATATGATCTTGCATGTGAATTGGCCTTTTGGCCTTGCTCTTGTGCTCGGATTGTGTGGTGACGTTGTGATCCACCCTGAGCTTGCTTTGCTTTGCTTGACTGGTCTTGTGACCTCTTGTTCTCCCCCACTCTGCCTATGGGGGTGTGTCAAACTCATATGCTGTAGTTTGTGTAGGCTATAGTGGGGTAGACAATATGGGGTACAACACTTCTAGGTTTTCCTACTTGTACCCACCTGCCTGCTAGTTCATTCATTTCCTCATTTCTTCACAGACCAACCTGCTTTTAACAGGCCTATTGACCCACGGATATTGCACCGACCCATTTTTCACGACCAGAAATTCACAGCAATTGGCAAAAGTAAAGGAGTTTCTTACGTTAAAACAGGCGCCAATCGCATCTGGGTACCAGCGTACTCACTACTGAAGGAGCTGCTACTGCTGGAGGCACACGACGGAATTACCTCGGGACATTTTGGGGTAGAAAAAACGCGACAGCAACTGCAACGGTATTACTACTGGCCGGGGCTGTTGACCGACGTGCAGCAGCACGTGGGCTCGTGCCCCACGTGTCAGGTGATGAAGAGCTCAAGGAAGCGGAAGGCGGGTCAATTGCAGCCGATACCACCGCTCGAGCGCGCCTGGCAGCAGGTTACCATGGACTTCGTGACAGGGTTACCTTCGAACCCTGGGGGTAACGACGCGGTGATGGTCGTCGTTGACAGGTTGACGAAGATGGCGCACTTCGCTGCGTGCAAAAAGTCGATCTCAGGCGAGGAGACTGCCCGTCTGTTCATCGCAGGCGTTGTTCGCCTACACGGGATAGCATTAGCGATTATCAGCGATAGGGACACGAAGTTCACCAGCAACTTCTGGAAGAACCTCTGGGAGCAGTTCGGAACCAGGCTACAGTTCAGTTCGTCGTACCACCCCGAGACCGACGGTCAAACGGAGCGGACGAATCAGACGATGGAGCAGTTGATTTGTGCCACGTGCGACGACCCCACGACCTGGGAGCAGCAGCTGCCGCTAATCGAGTTCGCGTACAATAATGCCACGTTAGCGACGACGCAGCAGTCCCCCTTCTACCTGAACTACGGGCAAAATCCTACAGTGCCCATGACGCCGAGTCCGGACAACCCAACACCACGCGCAGAGCAATTCGCCGAAATTCTGCAAGCTGCCCGCACCAGAGCCGCAGAAGCAATTAAAAAAGCAAACGTCATTGCTAAGCGCAACGCTGACCGCCACCGCCGCCCAGTCACATACCAGTCACGGGATTACGTACTGCTCGACATGCAAAATCTGCGACTGCCCGATGTACCAAAACTTCGACCTCGCTACTGTGGCCCATTCCAAATCAGCCACATGATCACGCCAGTAACCGCGCATCTACTGTTACCGACCGACTGGTACATCAGCCCTTCGTTCCACGTCAGCTTGCTTCGCCCATACATCCCAACCACAAGCCAACTGCCTCGCCACCGCCCGCCATCCATGACTCGCCCTGCATCGGAGCCGATCATCGAGCACGAAAAAATCCTGAGCCATCGGATTCGACACCCCACGGGAATCAAGAGGATTGAATTCCTCGTTCGCTGGAAGGATCGCACACCAACTGAGGACAGCTGGGTGCCCCTGGCCAACATCGAAAACCACCCTGCCCTGCAAGTGTACGTGAGGAGCCGAGGATTCCGCGATATACACGCACCCGCGTAGCGGATTGGGCTTCTTGAGTGGGGGGGTAGTGTAAGGAATTTTCTCGGCATTCCTTACGGAGCCCGACTACATCGCGTACAGCAACAGCCATTGTTCGCCCATTACTACTAACGGGGCTTCGCCGACTTCGTGCGCACTGTTTCACCAAACCTCGCACTGCTGGCCTGGCCGTGTCGGCCTACGCTTCGGGACTAGCCCGAGCCTCGCTTCCAGCGTAGCACTAGCTAGCTCGCACGCGCCGCGTTACCGTTTGCATGTTTCGCATATAAATGTTCGCTCATGCCTTCGCTCACATTTGACACCTGAGTGGAATTCTCGCTACTTCGATTCATTGCACCCGTAACAGCCAGCCAATCGCCCATCTCAAGGCTTTATTTTTCATTTACCTTAAACCATTTGTTACAAGTTTCTAAATCGGTCTTACCGGTATATATGTTGAAAACCTTTACGTAACAGCATTGTCAACATTCCTGAATCCCTCGAGGCATCTCAGCTTCTGGCAAATTGTGGCATTTTTGTCCTTTCTGCAGCCAGCCTTGCTTCTTGAGCTCGAAAGCTGGGTTGGGTTGTACTTCCCGCTTCTACCCTTCGCCACACTTGTTCTGCGAATTTTACTCTCGCCATCCTTCGCAAACCTAACTTCAACTTCAGTAAATATGAAAGTTAGCCATTCTAGACTCAGGCTTTAACCTTGAAAGTAGAATGTTTAGAGAAAATATCATATTAAAAGGAAAAAAATCAGACTGTACTATAGGGATGCGCTCATAATAAGTACTGGAATCACAAGGGGTGCGCTTCAGATCGAGTTACCGCCATAAGCGCATGGCTCCAGATAGAAGCGCCGGCGCTTATATCCGGGGTGATACGGTACATTACGCTACAACTTAGCTAAGCCACTTTATAAATATATGTATAATTTTTATATTTGACACTTCAGCCCCAGCAAGGGCAGCATCATCAGCGTCCAATACGCCCCTTTGATCACAGCCTTGCCAATTATCTCCTCTTGCCTCATGCTACGGGGGAACCCATCATCTGGCAGCAGTCACACCTAACATTACAGCCCTGCACCAGCACTGGCACTTTGCAAGCCCGAGCAACAACAGTAGCAGCGTCCAGTACCCCACAGAAGGTGGACTGAGTACCTCCCCTACTACTGCCCCGTGCCGCTGTCTCTCACACCACCAAACGGCACTCCATGTTGCAGACCTGTGGGGGTGAAGAATGTAGAGATGGAAGAGGGAAGAAGAGCGAGATGGGTGAGAAGGAGAGAAGATTCATTCATGAGCACGAGAAGGGGGTGGCACTTCCCACAGGTATGTCGCTCTACATTACCTGCTCCGGCGGGTATTGAAGCTCTACATTCCCTGCCCCGGCGGGTATTGATGCCCTCTATATTCCCTGCCCCGGCTGCACCTTCCTCAGATGCCGCAGGTGCTTCCCTTCTTACACTCTCGTTCTGAGGACAGACTTACTACCACCCTCTTTCTTCTCCCTGCCCCTCCTCGCTCCCCATTCCCCTCGTCCCTACCCCTCTCTTCTCCCCCTTCGACACCTGCAGGATGAATTCGTTCGACACCACAGCACCCGAATCCTCTCTCTGATGAAACGGTTTTGCACGCCCTCGGGTCAAAGCACACTCACTAACCGCATGATTATCGCTTTCCCTCCCACTCCTTTCCTCCCTTCCCCCAGAACCCTCTCCCCCCTGCCGCACCTGCAGGATGAGCTCGTTGCCAACCACAGCCCCCGAGCTGCTCTCCTTGAGGAAGCGCTGCCGCATGTCCTCTCGGAAGGTGATCATACTCACTAACCCAATGCCTCTCTTTCTCCCCCTTCCCCCCCAGAACCCTCTCCCCTCTCCCACACCTGCAGGATGAGCTCATTGGCCACGACAGCCCCCGAGCTGCTCTCCTTGAGGAAGCGCTGCCGCACGTCCTCCCGGGACGTGAAGACCATCACCACGAGCAGCTTGGGGCGCGCGTTTACGATTCCAATGGCCTCGTCCACTCCTGACACCTGACGATGAAAGCACAGAGAACGCACATGGGCGGGCGGAAGATCATTGGCGCTGGGATGGGGGTTGAGATGCTTGGAGCCCGCGCATTGATGAGGCTTGAGTCATCCTCGTGGATTCCTCACACCTGATGGGGGTGAGGGAGGGGGGAGAAGAAGGGCAGAGAAGGCACATGGGGAGACAGAAAACGACTATCATTGGGGCACGTTGATGATGCTGATGGGCTCGTCGATTCCTGACAGCTGATGGGGGCGATAAAGAGGGGGATAGCAGCGCTGTATAGGGAGAGAAAAAGCCGTGCAGGTGACACGACATGGGTACTGATGATGTGTCTGCATGAGTGCATATGACACGCGTAGATGGAAATAGGTGAGATGTCGTGAATGTATGGGAACGGGTGAGGGGAGCGGCAGCGGGGAGTGGAGCCAGAGATATTGGGGCTTTCAGGTTGAGACTGTGGGGAACGAGGAGGTAGGGAGAATAGACGGCTAGGATGAGGGATCTTACTGTTTGGATGGCCAGGATGGGCCCAAAGATCTCGGACTGCATGATGGGGGCATCCCAGGGCACGTTGAGCAGCAGCGTTGGGGCAAAGTACCTAGTGGGGAGGAGAGAGGGGGGGGAGAGGAGGGGGGAGGCATGGTTGCGGGGGGGAGGTGGAAAACTTGTCTCTCGGTCAGATCAAGAAGGGGCATCCCAGGGCATGTTGAGCAGCAGCGTTGGGGCAAAGAATCTGGTGCTGGGGGGGAGGGGGGGATGTGGGAGATTAAGCAGGGTGGGTGAAGGGGGGGGGGGGGGAGGGTGGGTGTGCCGAGGAGAATCGAAGAGGAGAGGAGTTATCAGGGTAAACGAACAATTGGGTTGGCTATCAAAATAGGGTGGTGTTTTTAAAATGGTTTTTTTTTTTTGTTCTACTTTGCTTTTTTTTTGCTATCACCTTGAATCACCTTGAATTACCTTGAATTACCTTGAATCACCTTGAATCACCTTGAATCACCTTGAATCACCTTGAATCACCTTGAATCACCTTGAATCACCTTGAATCACCTTGAATCACCTTGAATCACCTTGAATCACCTTGAATCACCTTGAATCACCTTGAAACACCTTGAATCACCTTGAATCACCTTGAAACACCTCGATTCCACATCTCTCTGGCCACTGCGGATGGCACAGGAGGAAGTGGCAGGCAGGGTACTCCAGAAGCTGTGGCAGGGTACTCCAGAAGCTGTGGCAGGGTACTCCAGAAGCTGTGGCAGGGTACTCCAGAAGCTGTGGCAGGGTACTCCAGAAGCTGTGGCAGGGTACTCCAGAAGCTGTGGCAGGGTACTCCAGAAGCTGTGGCAGGGTACTCCAGAAGCTGTGGCAGGGTACTCCAGAAGCTGTGGCAGGGTACTCCAGAAGCTGTGGCAGGGTACTCCAGAAGCTGTGGCAGGGTACTCCAGAAGCTGTGGCAGGGTACTCCAGAAGCTGTGGCAGGGTACTCCAGAAGCTGTGGCAGGGTACTCCAGAAGCTGTGGCAGGGTACTCCAGAAGCTGTGGCAGGGTACTCCAGAAGCTGTGGCAGGGTACTCCAGAAGCTGTGGCAGGGTACTCCAGAAGCTGTGGCAGGGTACTCCAGAAGCTGTGGCAGGGTACTCCAGAAGCTGTGGCAGGGTACTCCAGAAGCTGTGGCAGGGTACTCCAGAAGCTGTGGCAGGGTACTCCAGAAGCTGTGGCAGGGTACTCCAGAAGCTGTGGCAGGGTACTCCAGAAGCTGTGGCAGGGTACTCCAGAAGCTGTGGCAGGGTACTCCAGAAGCTGTGGCAGGGTACTCCAGAAGCTGTGGCAGGGTACTCCAGAAGCTGTGGCAGGGTACTCCAGAAGCTGTGGCAGGGTACTCCAGAAGCTGTGGCAGGGTACTCCAGAAGCTGTGGCAGGGTACTCCAGAAGCTGTGGCAGGGTACTCCAGAAGCTGTGGCAGGGTACTCCAGAAGCTGTGGCAGGGTACTCCAGAAGCTGTGGCAGGGTACTCCAGAAGCTGTGGCAGGGTACTCCAGAAGCTGTGGCAGGGTACTCCAGAAGCTGTGGCAGGGTACTCCAGAAGCTGTGGCAGGGTACTCCAGAAGCTGTGGCAGGGTACTCCAGAAGCTGTGGCAGGGTACTCCAGAAGCTGTGGCAGGGTACTCCAGAAGCTGTGGCAGGGTACTCCAGAAGCTGTGGCAGGGGGGAGGCTAATGGTCACCTGTGTGGACTCTCCCTGACTCAGTTGGCCTGCGTTGACTCACACTGACTCACCTCGATTCCACATCGCTCTGCCCCCCGTGCACGACACAGGAGGCGGTAGCAGGATGGTCGAGAAGCCTCTGCAGGCGGAGCAGGTGGGAGGTGTTGATGATGCGGGCGAGGTCAGGGCACCCAGCGGGGTTGCTGCCGTAAAACTGCTCCACGGCTGCCTTCAGATGGGGCAGCTGTGGGGGGGGCGCGAGAGAGGAGAGAGGGCAGAGAGAAGACACGAGAGAGGAGATTCAAAGAACAGGAGCGAGGCGGGCAGAGAGCGGAGTTGCAATAGAAAGGCTCCAGGAACACCTGCCCTCCCCTTTTTCCCGCATTCCCGTGCCCCAATACCTTTTTCTCCCTATCTCTGCACCTTCCGCCCCTATTCTGCCCCTTCTCCCCCGCGCACCAGTCTATAGTCGGGCACAAGGCACACCTGCTCATACCTTCCATTCCTCTTACCGCTCTGCCCCTCTTACAACCCCCTTATACCGGCCCCCAGACGCACCAGTCTTGCAGCCACGTCCTTGGTGGCGCGGATATAGTCTGGCTCCAGGCACACCTGCCTCATTTTATCCTACTTCCCTTTCCCACACACCTGCGCCCTTTGCCTCGCCCCAATCCCTGCCCTTTCGCCCCGTCTCCCCCTCTCACCAGCCGCGCAGCAACGTCCTTGGACGCCAGAATGTAGTCGGGCAGGAGGCACACCTGCGGTCCCTTCCGTCCCTCTTACCGCTCTGCACCTCTTTCAACCTCCTCTAGACGAACCAGCCGCGCAGCAACGTCCTTGGAGGCGAGAATGTAGTCGGGCAGGAGGCACACCTGCCCCGTGTTCGTGCACTTGCCCGATACGATCCGCCTTGCTGACACCTGAGCATATGGCACGGCGCATGGGGTATGGGGCACGGTGCATGGGGCATGGGTCATGGGGCAATGGGCATGGCCCAAAGCATCAAGCACGGGGGGTGCATGGGGCATGGAGCATGGGATGGGGCACGGGTGGAGCATTTTAGAAAGCACACCTGCAAAGGATTCAGTACATTGGGTGAACTCACGAGTGCGGTGAGGGGCGTGACGCATTGGTGAATGTGAGGGGCGTGACGCATTGGTGCATGTGTCGCATGCATGCACATTGCGAGAAGGGGTGGGAGGCTTGGGAAAAAGGGGTGTCGCATGTGCCGTGTGGCATGTGCCATGGTATATGCACCACCATGTGGCATGTGCCATGAGACATGGGGCATGCATTCACATTGCATTTGAGACAGTAGCACACACCTCCAGGTCGGCAGCACACACCTCCAGGTCAGCAGCACACACCTCCAGGTCGGCAGCACACACCTCCAGGTCAGCGGACTCGTCGATGAACAGTGGATTTTTGCCGCCCAGCTCCAGAGTGACAGGTGTCAAATGCTTACTGGCCGCCTACATCACAATGCGCCCCAGTGCCGTGCCACCTGTAAAGAAGATTTTATCCCACCGCCGCCCCAGCAGCGCCTTGCCTGTCTCTGGGCCGCCTTCCACCACCTGCTGATGTCACAGCAGGGGCACGGGCAGAGGGGGGGAAAGAACAAGGAAAGAAGGGAGGGCGGGGGGTAGAAGCACATGGGGAGAGAGAGAGAGAGCGAGGGTGAGCTTTTGGGGCGGTCTAGATTTCCTCTGCCTGGACCGCCTTTGACTGCGTGAAGACTGTTGGGTGGAGTGCAGTGCAGAGGCGGTTCCAATCAATCCCTGCCTGTGCCTGGCCCCCCTTCCCCTTGTGCCCCCTCCCACACCGGCAAGGGGGGGGGGGGTTGGGGAAGAAGGGGGGTGGGGAAGAAGGGGGTTGGGGAAGAAGGGGGGTGGGGAAGAAGGGGGTTGGGGAAGAAGGGGGGGTGGGGAAGAAGGGGGTTGGGGAAGAAGGGGGTTGGGGAAGAAGGGGGTTGGGGAAGAAGGGGGTTGGGGAAGAAGGGGGTTGGGGAAGAAGGGGGTTGGGGAAGAAGGGGGTTGGGGATGAGAGCGAACCGCAGGGATGTGCTGCTGCCTGCACGTGCACGCGTCGCCCCTTGTGTCACTCTGAGCGCACTGCAGGCGTTCGTAAGGGTGTGGGATGGGATTCCACAAAATCCTATCTACATATAAACCGCGTGTGAGAAGTCTAGATTTGAGGCGCCTCAATACTAGGTCTGTGTGGGAGAAGGTTCAAGGCGGACGTTCTTAAGGGTTTGGGATTCCAGGAAACGGAATGGGAGAGTTCGCCACAACAGCACCTGTAACACTTGGCATTTGTAACCATGAATTATACTGCCTGCTGTTGTACCACAAAGAACCTTCCTCGAATACACTTGGCTCAAATGACACCTGCCGCAGATAGCACCTGCCTGAGATAGCACCTGGCGTGGATAACACCTGCCTGAGATAGCACCTGGCGTGGATAGCACCTGCCTGAGATAGCACCTGGCGTGGATAGCACCTGCCTGAGATAGCACCTGGCGTGGATAGCACCTGCCTGAGATAGCACCTGGCGTGGATAGCACCTGCCTGAGATAGCACCTGGCGTGGATAGCACCTGCCTGAACGGCGTGCGAGTCGAGGTAGAGGGGGAGGAGGCGCGAGAGCAGGTGCGAGCAGGCGGGGGAGAGCTCTGAGGGCTTCAGCACCGCCACGTTGCCCGCTGCTAGCGCCCCCACTAGCGGCTCCAGAGACAGCACTGAGAGATGGAAACACACACGAGATAGAGCGGAGAGGAGAGATGGCACCATGAGAGCTCCTCTGAGGGCCTCAGCACCGCTGCGTTGCCCGCTTCTAGCGCTCCCACTAGTGGCTCCAGAGACAGCACTGAGAGATGGAAACACACACGAGATAGAGCGGAGAGGAGAGATGGCACCATGAGAGCTCCTCTGAGGGCCTCAGCACCGCTGCGTTGCCCGCTTCTAGCGCTCCCACTAGCGGCTCCAGAGACAGCACTGAGAGATGGAAACACACACGAGATAGAGCGGAGAGGAGCGATGGCACCATGAGAACTCCTCTGAGGGCCTCAGCACCGCTGCGTTGCCCGCTTCTAGCGCTCCCACTAGCGGCTCCAGAGACAGCACTGAGAGATGGAAACACACACGAGATAGAGCGGAGAGAGATGGCACCATGAGAGCTCCTCTGAGGGCCTCAGCACCGCTGCGTTGCCCGCTTCTAGCGCTCCCACTAGCGGCTCCAGAGACAGCACTGAGAGGGGTAGACATGGAGAGGAGAAGAGAGGAGAGGGAGGGAGAAGGAGAATGCTGGGAGTGCTGTGAAGTGAATGCACAGAACGAACAGGAACCGGATACAGAAAGTTGAGCGGTGCCAAGTCAAACGACTTGGAGGTCCAAAACAGAGCAATCCAGAAAAGAACAGAAGGCAGAAGAAAGGGGGGTGGGAAAGGGACGTACGGAAGGGGAAGTTCCAGAGGGCGAGATGATGAGCACCACGCCCAGTGAACAGCAGCGAGGTGCCATGACATGACATTTACACGACGTGCTCCATAGGGGGGAGTTGTAAGGAGAAGCGGTGGAGAAGTTGTAAGGAGAAGCGGTGGGGAGGGGACGTACGAAAGGGGAAGTTCCAGGGCGAGATGATGAGCACCACGCCCAGCGGCTCATACAGCACCTCTGACCGCCCTGGCCTCAACAACAGCGGCGTGCCCACCTGGTGGCGGGGAAAGGGGAGGGGGGGGGGGGGAGTTAACGACCAGACGCGCGTGGAGGCGTCACAAGAGAGGAAAGAGCCACTCCTCTGCTGCGTCATTTGACCGGTCAGCCCACCAGTCACGTCAGCTCGCATTGAGGCACGTCAGCTCGGATTGAGGCACGTCAGCTCGCATTGAGGCACGTCAGCTCGCATTGAGGCACGTCAGCTCGCATTGAGGCGCGTCAGCTCGCATTGAGGCGCGTCAGCTCGCATTGAGGCACGTCAGCTCGCATTGAGGCGCGTCAGCTCGCATTGAGGCGCGTCAGTGCAACACTCGCTCCCACCCACTCCAAGGATGCCCCACCCCTATGCCCTCCCCTCTCCCCACCCACCTCCCCCCCCTATCCAAGGCCCCAATCCCCGCCGACCCAAGCCCCCTCTTCCCCAGCCACCGGGCGCACCTTGTGCGGTTGCAGCCATTTCTTGAAGTGCTTCAGCATGTGACTCGCCGCCTTCCACACGCCCAGCACCTGCGCGCGGTTGGGTTGGGTCGAGGGGGTGAGTGGGTGGGAAGAAGAGCAGCAATATTCAATACAGGTCACTTCAACCATGAGATCACCACGGTCCACATGCCCCGCACCTGCAGGCGGATTGGGCTGGGTGGGTTGAGTGGGAGCAGGAAGACGGCTGTCAGAGAACTGTGCAATGCAAATGCAGGTTGCAGATGACTAGGCGCATGGCACCCGCACAGCGAGCGGATTTGGTTGGGGATGATGCATGCTAGTTCCCAATCGGAGGCGGGTGGCAGGATGAGAGGGAAGGCCGGCCAACATGTCACTCATTCGGCCACGTGTCAAGTTCTCATTCGTGGCGCTTTGCTCCCAGACGTGTCAAGAGCCCGCGGTGGTACTAGCACTACCTCAATGAGGGCCTCCATGCGACCGCGCCGGTCGGTTGGCGTTGAGCATTGAGAGCCGCCATCATGCCGCCCTTCCGCCATGCCGCCCATCAGACGCCCATCGCGCACCAGATGCCCACCGCCCATCAGACGCCGTACCTCTATGAGGGCCTCCATGCGGCCGCGTCCCAGGTCGGCGTTGAGCGCCGCCATCATGTCGTCCTCGTGCTCCTCCGCCATGCGCACCACACAAGCATCACATGCGCACTCTCTCTTTATCAACGCCCCACACCCATTGCCACACCTCTATGAGAGCCTCCATGCGGCCGCGGCCTAGATCCGCCTTGAGCGCCGCCATCATGTCGTCCTCGTGCTCCTCCGCCATGCGCACCACATTGCGCAGCTGCTGCTCGCGCCACGCCAAGCTCCGCGTCTCGCCCGACCGGAACTTCAGACGAAGCTTTGCCAGGAGGTTCTCCGCGGCGGCGTCGTCAAAGGTCTCGCCTTTCCTGCCGCCTTCCTCCGCGCACGCCGCCGCGCTGCCGCCCTGGTACGGCCGCTCCATGCTGAGAACGAGACTTCCACTACTGTCGAAGAAAAAGCGGGTCGTCAAGTGGAATGCGATGCGAAGCGAAAACGACTCGTTTTCGGAGTGCGAACACGTAGCAAGGAGGTTGATCGTGAAGGCCAGTATCACTTGGCGGCACGCGCGAAGGCTAGTATCACTTGGCGGCACGCGCGAAGGCTAGTATCACTTGGCGGCACGCGCGTAGTATCACTTGGCGGCACGCGCGAAGCTCAAGGACAGCAGGTAACGACTGACGAGCAATTTAGTCCAGCAATGGCAGCAAAAAATGCGAGAACGCAGCTTGGCTGTGTGTCTCAGGCGGATGAACTCGTCGTCGCTCCGTTTTGCCCGTGGGAATGACGCCGTCCTTGCTCCCCCAGCGACGGGCCCGCGGACTGCCAAGCTGGACGACGAGCTGGACGACGAGCTGGGCGACGACCTGCGCGACGAGCTGGGCGACGAGCTGGGCGATGAGCAGGGCGACGGGCGCGACGAGCTGGGCGACGGGCTGGGCGACGGACTGGGCGACCAGCTGGGCGCAGGTTTACGACTAGGACGGCCCGGCTGAGATCAATGTTGACGCTAATGGGAACGATCAACGTGAACTAAGCTCCAGATGAGATTTTACGGGATTCTTAGCGATAAGGCTTGTCGGGATAGAGCTACTGGTGATTCTGCTTCTGCTTCTGGTGGAACTGAGAGATGAAACGATGAACATGAAGGCCATCATGTGCGCAGATGCGGCAGAATAAAACAAGGTAACCGAGAGGAGTCCGTTATGCACCGAGGGCCCCACCGGGCTTGCTTGGCTCCACCCCGTCATGGCTGTGGAGAGATGGACGCTGCTTAGTTGCCATTCCGCTTATGTTGCCCGCGCAGCGACGCTTCCCCCGCCGGCGCGGCCGTGACGCGAGGCTAGTTAGATCCGAGTTTGCCTGGCGGGGCTGCAAAGAAGCGCCACCGTCGTGGAAGCCTCGCGGACTGTCTTCCCCTTGCATTCTCGGAAGCACCCTGTGATTGCCTGGCGGGCCCGCAAAGTGTTTCACCATCAGTGGCGGGCCGGCAGTTGAGTCTGCACCCGCACTGTGATGTGCAGTGGCCCCACACATACAGTATCTTCTTTCGTTGTTGAGTCAACAAAGCGTGGCAGCATTGGCAGTTGGGCACATGGGAAAGCATCATACGCACACGTGTGATGCGAAACTCTCTACCACTAGGTGCCGGCGCGACAGGCTGCCATGTCTAGCACGAGGTTACCGAAACCTACTAGACTCCTAGAAAATTTCCATCACGCACAACCCCAACATTCGAAATGACTGACTCAGGACGCGGTAAAATTGCGAATATCGCAGGATCGTGCCCGAAAATCGAGTCGCTCGATCGATTTAGCGGATCGATTGGCGAAACGATGCGCAAACGTCGTTGTAACGATCGCCACTAGGAACGCAGTAAAAGTGCTCAGTCGGGAGGAGAACGACCCGGTCACCGCACTGAAACCCCGCGTTTATAACCGCGCTAAAAACGAACCTGGGGCGATCGATTCTCCACTTCCTAAGTTGTGGTTTGATCTCCGGTGGCATTCCCTTACTGTGCACTATTCAATGACAAAAACCTTAATAACTGTAGCATGATTACACGCTAGTTAATTTTGTAATTCTCTGCATAACACCGCGATAGACAATTGATCGCCTAGTTTTGCCACGTCCTCAAAGCGAAACTCCTGGCGGGGCTCGCTTACATGTTACAATTTTCACAATCGAGAGGAAATCGCAACTGGTCTTATGCTTCTCTTTTTCTAGCTCAACCCATCTTTGACCCTGTAAAAAAGTCTTTGTACAATCCGAGCCAGCAAAAAAAATCCGTTCACAGATCAAGTTAAAAAAAAATACCCATATGGGATTGGTATCTATATTGAGGGGAAATGAGGGTGTTGGTTCAGTGAGGTGGGAGGGAATGGGAGGAGAGTCTCTTCGAACGGACTTCCAGGTACTTATCTGTGTGGGAAGAAATTATAAGGCCAACCCACATAAGAAGGGGGGAATAAGGACTTGTTGGAGAACGCCTTGGCTGGGCATGGGTTTGCTTGTGTGTTATGGTGCGTTCCTGGCTCGTGTCAAACTTCCGATCTTCCGGGGATGACACGAAGCTGGCCCCACTTTGGGTTATCCGAGACCAACTTCAGGTCTTCTCACTAACTTTTGCCCCCTGTTTTCGGAAGACTCGAAGTTTGACAGGTAGTTTGACCTAAACCTTCGGGTCTTCTCGGAAAGACCGGAAGTTTGACACGAGCCAGGAACGCACCCTTAGACGCTCGCCACTGCTCACCACCAACTTGTGTTATGAATAGCAAAATTCAAAAAATACAGTGCACGCCTGTCAGCAGCAAGCGAGGAACACAATACAGAATACGAAGACGAAAGGGTCGAAGTGAGACGAAGAGTGTGTCAGAATGTTATCTTATGTTCTAGCCTGTAGTGGGGTGCTCTATAGCGAGTACAACCCTTCTAGGGTTTGCTATTTGTATCTCCATTTCTGCTAGTTCAATCCTCTTCTTTCTTCTAATTTTGTCATGCTATCAGAGCAGGTCGATCCCCTTGGATCGATCCTGTGGGTGGACTTACCACCTCGTTGCTTCCGCTGCAACTCCTACTCCTACTACTATCAACTACTCTCTGAGCCGCACGCCCCGTGGCGTGCGGCATTTTTTCTTCCCGCCGTGCGCCCCGAGGCGCGCGGCGGTTTTCTGCCCGCCGTGCGCCCCGAGGCGCGCGGCGGTTCTCTGCCCGCTGTGCGCCCCGAGGCGCGCGGCGGGCTTCGGCCCCGTCGACCGGCGCGTCGCCCTCGGGAGGCGCCGCGACGGGCGACGGGGACCCGGTCGTCACCTCCCGTCGCCCGTCGTGGCCTACGCGCGGCCCGTACAGGCAGCGCGCGGCCCGTACGGGCTGCGCCAGGCCCGCGCGCGGCTTGGGCCGCCTCCCTACCTGCGGCCCGTCGCCCCGCCGTCCCGCCTCCCTACCTGGCCGCGGCCCCGTCGTCCCGCCGCCCTACCTGCGGCCCCGGCCCCGTCTCCCTACCTGCGACCCTACCAGGCCCGTGGTGGGCCCCTTCCTCCACACCGCCTCCCCCCCCCCTTTTCCCGTCGTCTGTCGTGGCGACCTGAGGGGGCCGCTTGAGGGGCGAGCTGTGGGGTGGCGGGTATGGGGGTGACCGGTGTGCATTCCTCCCTTTCCTCCTCCTCCTCCTTCGTCTCCCACTGCTGCAGCTGTCGCTGAGGGGGGTGGATGTGTGGGAGACTGGGTTTAGGGTTTAAGGGGGGTGCGTGGGAGTGGAGCTAGCGGTGTAGCAGCGGGTGTGTGTCAGAGGGGTGGGACTGTATGGGGAAGTTGCACGGAGGTTGCCGTCGTGTCGCCAGCAGCACCTGTAGTCCGGGGACTTCGTCCGGTAGCCCAGTCGTAGCCAGCTGTGCCAGCCGCCCGTGGGTCCGTTGCCCGTCTGCCGCTACTTGAGCCGCGGGGCCTGTTACTCCTGCATTCCGGGGGCTTCGCCCGGTAGCCGCTGTGCCAGTCTGCCTCCTGTTGCCCGTGTGTCTGCAGCTTCAGCCGTCGCCTCCTATCTCCTCTCCCCTCACTCTCTCTCCTCCTCCTAGCTTGCCCGTTGTGACTACCACTAGCTTTGCTCATAATTGTGAACTCTAAACTATTGCTTCTTGAACTTGTGCTCAGAATGTGTGGTGACATTGTGATCCACCCTGAGCTTGTACTGCTTTGCCTGCTCTGCTGATTACACCCCACTTTGGCTATGGGGGTGTGTCAGAATGTTATCTTATGTTCTAGCCTGTAGTGGGGTGCTCTATAGCGAGTACAACCCTTCTAGGGTTTGCTATTTGTATCCCCATTTCTGCTAGTTCAATCCTCTTCTTTCTTCTAATTTTGTCAGAGTGGCGTACGGTTAGGCAGCATCTAGATTGTTGGAGCAGAAGCATCAGGCAGCTGCAGGAGCGAGTAATTTGGCGGGAACAATTATTGTAACTACAGGGAGTCGCACGCTTGAACTTCATTGCAATAAGGGAATGTACCTTTTAGAGTCCATGCATAGCCTATGTCCTTTCGCATTTGAATGTTTTTACCATCTCAGTCATTTTAAATCCACTCTGATCTGAAGTCAACTCTTCCGCTGCAATACACTTCAAATCTTCCCGAGGTGATTCTAGGCACGATCAAACTTCTTATCGCAACGTGGTATGAGAGCAACTCGAGAATCATTGGCACCGCGGATTAAGGTGGCGCCTGGCTCACGCTCATGCGTAACAATGGCCGGACGATCTCGAGGTCAGGGAAATCTGACGTTGAAGCGCAGACCAACTGGGCTGCAACAAACGAGGAGACGACGACGATTAGTACCATCGCACTCGAACTATTGCTTCTGCGACTCTCGACTCTGGAACAAAGGCTCCATACATTACGGGAATCCTAGAGCTGTTGCGACTCTCAGCCGGTCGCAATGGTCGTGATACCGCCCCGCACACCTTCTCCCCCAAAACAAATGGTTCAACTCCCAAGACTCCCTGTCTGAGAGATGAAGCAATTCTCTCAGCGCAATCAAGGTTTTTGAGCATATAAAAAATAAAGACAAATGCATGTTTTGACGGCAAAGATTTCTACGCCTAGAGCTTCGAGCTAGGTCTGTTGCTACAAAATGAGATTTTTCACTATTTAGACGTGAGTTACGCGAGACTTACGGCTGACACCGACGACGACAGAGCGCAGTACTACAGCGAATCGCTCATGGCGTACGGCATGCTTATCTGCAACATGTCGTAGGCAGAGCAGCTAGGAACTGTCAAACTTTAATGTTGTATAGTGTAGGTTGTAGAGGGATAGCCTATATGGGGTACAACCCAATTAGGGTTAGTACTTGTACCACATTTCTGACCAATGCATTCATTCATGCTCGTTAGTTTCTGACATGGTTTCAGAGCAGTAGGTCCGTAGGACCGT